ATAATTTTGTTTAAGTAGTTAGAGAAAATGGTGCTAGGCTAAGTTATGTAAGTATTAGACCCACATATGATTGCTCTTAATTTTATAGGAATTTTATGAAATTTAGAACTGATATTTAAGTAGGGAAATTGTATATTGCTAATCTTAATTTTTAACCTTTCATATAAAGCTAAAAATTTTGTAATGACAATATTATTATTTAAATTACTAAGCTTAAAATCTTTTTTATTTTTAACTCCGTATTTAAAAGTTCAACATAGCATCTTTTGCAGAAGATTGCATAATTATTGTTAGCTTTGTCTATGGGATAATTAGAACACTTTTTTGTAGTTGCTTGTTTGATTGAACAATTTCAGAATTGTTATTGTTATTTAAATTTTCCTTATAATTGAAAACAAATTTTTTAAAGTAATAATAAACAGCCCATTTCCATTCTTTTAACATACCTAAAGGTAAAGAAAACATATTTGATATCTTTATACGAAAGTTATTGAGATCATTAAGAAAGTATTTTAGAATTTTATTAAGTGATATATGGTAAGTAGGTGTGAATTTTGTGTCTTTTTCATTAAATTCCTAAGTTTTAAGTTTTCTATCGTACTTAAATTCCCAGTAATAATATGTTTATGATGTTTATCAACAAAATCAAAGCATTTCTCTTCTTCACAGTGACATTCATAATCGGATACATTAATCCTCCCTAAATTTTTGCCAATATCAGTATAATTAAATATAGTTCTGCCAAGAGATTTATTACACTTATAGCTATAATTATGTTAAAAATTTTAATGGAAATAAATTTTTAACATTTTTTAAAATATTATGAAATTTATCGAATTTATTGAAAATAGGGGTTTAAAAGTTAATAACAAAATATAAATTATCTAAACGTTTCTTTTTATTTAGTTAACTTTTACTCGTTTTTGTCTTTCACAAGATCGAAACAAAGAATTTTGGAGCGTAAATTAATAAAAGAAAAGTTAATAATAGGATTTTTATCAAACTGATTTCTTATTTAAGTTTCATAAAAATCAGGGAGTTCTAGGTGCGAAAAGTTTGATTTTACACATCATTTTTCCACTCTATATTTTTCGATTTTCTTTTAAAATTTAATATTCTATTTACATATTTCACATAATTATTTAGAATAATTAGAATTCCATATTAATTCTCTAAACTAGCCATTTATAAATGGAAAGGAAAAATGTGCGCTAAAGTAAAATTCAAGAGACTATTACATGGGATATTGTTTTCAATCAGAAAAGTATTTCTTTTTTTGTTGCAAGTAAAATAATTTCTTTTCCCATACCATCTGTCATTAGAGCATATTTATAAACAGTCTACAGAGCGCAAAATAAAAAAAAGCAAATACCTTTATTATCTTTGATCTCTGTTTGAATTTTTCGCCTTTAACTCTAAAAAGAACCAAATTTGCTTCTACTGATTTTTGTTCCTTTATAATTCAAAAAATAGCTTACTGAAAGTGTTGAGTATTTCTGATTTTTCATAATTTGATTAAATTCAGATGCTTACAAAATCATCCATGCATTAGCATTATAGAAACACGCAGAGAACCTAATATCTAGAACGACGGGAAGGGGAGAGTGCCCCGGAGGTATTTTTGTAGATATCTCATTTCCTCAGGTTGGTCTGGGCCTAAGGTACCCTTTGGTATATATAAGGCATACCAGTTATATGAAAAAGGAATAAATATTTTAACATATCTAATTATTATTTATAGAAAAAAGGAAGCTCGTATGTATAAGAAACTAACAATTATACACAGAAGAAGGTAATTTAAAAATTTTACATAAGGAGACAGTCAAAAGAATGAATTTTATTTTTTTAAATGCTGAAAAGGTAAATAAAAATTTACGTAACCAATCATAAATTCTCAAAAAAGGAATATTTAACGTTTTTAAGCATCACACGAATTTATTCAAGTGTTAAGAAAAATAAATCTAAATTTGTGTTACTTTGCAAAATTTCTAAGCAACTTTTTTCCTGTCTGAAAGATTATTTTCTTCTACATGGAAGTTAATAAGCTTATGTAAACAATGCTTTGCATAAACTAAGAAAATGCTATTTACCTAACGGAAAAATGTTTACTTTTAGAAAAACTGAGCTTTCGTTATGATAAAAATGTGTTAATTTTCTTTTACTTTTGAATGAAAATTTCTTCGATACAATTTATAGAATAATTTTCAAAAATTACAGGGAGAAGTTATGTACCTAAGAAAACCAAGCTCTTCTTTTTCCTCCACAAAAAAGAGAGAAATGATTCTCTTTAAAGTACACAAGTCCAAAATATTCCCTAAAGTAAACTCCAAATGTAATAAAAAGAGAAAAAAATATTCCAACAGGCTTAGCAATATCTTAGTTTACTTTTGCATTCTAGTCTCCATAAAATAAATTTCCAGGTTAAACAAAAGTTTTTTACACTTATTAAAGTAACAAAACATTCAAAGTAACTTTTATATTATTGAATTATATATTCAATGACATTATTTTGTTACACAATTATACTTTTCTTCAAAAAAGTATTTATGTTGAATAGAGCGGACTATAATGTTTAAATGCTTTTTGCATTGACTATATAAAATTCAACTACCACTAGTTTAAAATATAATTTTTTGTTAAAAAAAAAAAGAAAGCATTAGTATTTGTTATCTATAGCACAACTGCTAAAAAGCCATTTCAGAACTTCAGAAAGGAAAATAATTTAATAATTAGATGCTGAGTCTAAAAAAATTGTTTTAATTGTTACAGAGACGTTTAGTTTTATCCAATTTAGTGTATTTTGTTTAGCTATACGCTAGAAAAAATGTCTAGAAATCTTTGGAGCAATCGATTTGTAAATCGATGACGACTTACATTTACATTTAGAGAAAGTTAAGGAACTGATCCACTTTCTAAATCATCTGTAGAGATCCCTGTCGTAGTTAAGATTATAGTAGTATATTACTTTATTTATGTCGCCCTAGAGCTGCTTAATGGGCTGCTAGCAACTGTTTGGGAAACTACTCTGAGTCTTATCCGAAATCATGAGATCACAATTTTGATTCTCTGCGGAGGGAACAGCTCACCTGATTTTAAGTATGCTACCTACACGTGATGTGAAGCACTTTACACGAAGCGATACAGATCACTCTCTGTCCCTGCGCATGCTAATTAAAGTGGTCACTCACTCGCTCACAGACCATTGCCAGTGATATTTGACTTCAGTGTTCTGCAGCCATTGTAAATCCAGCACAGCTAAGTGAATATTTCAGAAATTTTTAGTCGAAAGATGTGCGAGCATATATATATATATATATATATATATATGCTCTTGTGTGGGAAACGTTCGATCCATTTCATAAACCAATAGCAACTACTAAGATTTCCCTCTTTCCCTAAATTAAGACATTTTACGGATTTTACTTTGCAAGATTTTCCCTAACATATAACCAAGGAGCGCAACTTTTCATGTGCACTTTTACTCATTCTCATGACTGCTCTTGTCTAATAATTAATAAATAAATTTTGTACCCTCCTTCCCGACCTATGACCTGTTTTAATCCTTCCACTCGGCAACNTACGTATATATATATATATATCAACAATTTCAAGAGTTTGAGACTAGGCAAATACTATTGAATTCTTAAATATCTGATCTTAAATATCATAATTGTAAAATGAATATTGATAGTAAACAAGCGTTTAAGTAGCACAAACTTTAAAGAATTTGAAAGCGCTGGTATTCTATTTACTGCTTCACACTGTTGTTTCCTTATCCTTGTTCGATTGACCATACTTGAAACTTCATTGGTACCATTAATAACTCTTTTTCCTACCAGCTACAGTATTTGATCACAGTTATGTAAATGTATAATCTGATTCGCAGATGCGGTTTTATTTTAAGAGGGGAGTTTTCCTATCGACTTTTCCAGATGAAACTGCGCCATTTTCTGCTTTATTTGCAAGCTTCACATTTAGGATTACTCTGGTCGTCATTGCCTTTCATCAAGTTATTAAGATCAGTTTTAATCATTGTGCTAGAAGGACGCCTCCATGATCGAGCGGTATCGCCTTCATGTAGCTTGGAGGTAGAGGGATCAAATTCCACCGAATCCCTGAATGTATTACAGTGCTTCTCTTCTCTAAAATTGTAATATTTACTCTTTAATTTGACTTGAGCGTATAAGCCATTCTTTGTATTGAGTTTATTATCCTGTTATTGTATGTGTAACAATGAAAACCGCTCTACAAAGTTGTAAAATAATGTCTCTTAAAAATCTAATACCTTATAAAAGCAAAGAGAATAATACCTATTGAATTCCGTTATGAACCCATTAATTGATGCTTCAGAACTTAAGCTGTCAGATACCTGACATTCAAGTTAGCAATACTAATTAATGTATCTGATGTTTGAATTAAATAGGAGAATCAACAATTGTAGAAAAACAACACAAAGAGTAATTGAGAGATGCGTACTGGGGTAAAAGGGGAATTTGAACCCGCTACCTCTAGGCTGCAGAACGTTTGGATAATAACCGTCTTTAGGATAATCAATGACCATCTACCAGATGCACAGCACTACACAATTTAAATTCTCCTTTTCAGTGCAATATCTATATTTTCTCGAACCCTTGTACTACTGGGAGCTGAAGACATGGTTCAAGCAGATCACTGAAGGCAAGCATCTCTGTGTGCAGTCAGTGAGTGGGTTGTTGATTAATATTATTCGCCTGAGAAGAGATTCCTCGTCAAACTGTTTTACGAAAAGTTGTTCAACTTCACGCGCAGGTCGTCAGGCTACCAAAGCGAGAGAATCACTCTCGCTGTACAGGATTGAAATAGTGTGGTATATGTTCTGCCATGTTAAGAAATGTTTTTTAGACCATCAAACAAAATCCCTTTGTGCAGCTCTAGTACGACGTAAGGAAATACGCCTTCTACTACTTTTCAAACACCAAATCATTTTTGCCATGTGATAAATCTTAGTTCTCAAATCGTGTGCATTCAAAATCACAACTGTCACTTATTTGATATCTTACTTTGATATAAAAGGTAAGTTTAGCTGCGCTAAATTCACAGTTTACGCTTTCTCTTGTTTGAAGTTATCAGGTATCAACGTTAGCATCGATTCTTAGAAGCATGGCTAGGTATAAAGTTCTCTCACTGATAATTCAATTGTATTTAAATATGTATGACTTAGAATTTATCTTTTGTAACATTTTGTTTGAAATAAGTTAAGCTGTTGCAGAATGTATGTAATCTATAGTTTATTGTTGTCTTAGTTGAATCTCTACACGAAAGTGTAAATTTTAAAAAATAGTCTGCTCTGTCATGTGTTCTTCCAATTGACAGATTAGTTAAAAATTTATAACATTTCTTTTAAGTGAATACGCATTACTCTAATTTCTCGTTTACAAAGCAATTATTTGTATTGATGAAGAGTTGAAATTAAAATAAAACTAATCATAGTTAATTACAAATAAAAGACTAACCATATCTTTTGGATGCAGTCCCTAATTATGGTCTAATATATTTATAAATTTAATAACTTAATACAGTCTTATTTAATAAACTTTCATAATTGCTAAGAGAAAAATATCTCATATTATTGGAGTCTACCGTTTAGAATTTGTTTAAAGTTAGTTCTTAGAGTAGACTCAAAAATTTCGACAATTCCAAATCTCTTAAAAATTTCCTATCTCAAATTTTTTTAATAGGTAATATAGATATTAATTCATTTTTTAATTCGTATGACTTTCGATTTTTGTTTAAAACAATGCATTCTATTAAATTCGTATGAGTTTTGGATTTTTGAAATAAGTCACTTGTCAAAAATCTAGTATTTTAGATTTAAAGACTTTGAAAATTCATTACACAGATTAGAATTTTTAAGTAGCAAAATTTCAAGTAGATAAGAAAAACATAACAAACTCTAAATGTGTTTATTATAATGACTATTTAAAATGTTCGACATTTCTTAAACACTTAATAGTTTCTGTAAATTCAATCTGGTATTAAAATAATTAAAACGGGGTATCTTCTCAATTTTAGACTTTTTTTTATTTCATATTGATAAAACTGAACTCTATACTTATTACAGTTCAAATATTTCAAAAATTAAACTGAAATTACACAGCAAAAATTAGAGCTCTTTACTTCTTTAACTAGTTTTTGAAAAATTGAGCAATTCCTCTTTAAGTTGTTGACTTCAGACTTGTTATCCGTTTAGTTTCTTTTAACACTATTTTCAAATGTTTATTGAAAGCAATATTTAAATTCTTCATACATTAAACATAAAATGTGTTGTATGTGTCTAATGCAGTTTAACATTTAGATGTTCAAACTTAATTCAGGCTTAATATGCTAGATCAGAATTGCTGATAGGAAGCAAACTTTTGTCCAAGGGTGTTTAAGGCCTAGTTTACTTATTTAAATCCTTGCCTTTTCTAGATATCAACCCGTAAAGCTCGCCCATCGTGTATTTGAAGCTATTGGTGGAAGCGATAAGAAAAAGCCACCTGTGATTTTTATGCATGCTATGTTGTGCTCCAAAGAAGTGTGGGAAACTATACCTCAGCGAGTGGCAGAATTGACTAAGAGAAAGGTATGCTTAGAGGCTATAATTTTCGATATTTGAGATGTAGTTTGAAAAGATGGTCACTAAACCCAGTAATTTTTTAACTAGAGTTTGAACGGAGTAAATGAATATGTGCTCTTGTTTACAAATCAAAAGAGGATTAGTGAAAACTTATCTCAACTTATATCTAACTAAAATTCTCTTAAAGTCTGTTTTCAAACATTTAGCAATTTTCCTTAATATTTTAATATTGATAAAAATAAAATCTTCAAGTGATATAAAAATACTAAAAAAATTTTCTTTCAAATCGATTTGTAAAACATTTATTTTGCAGTTATATAATCTCGTCACTTTTAGGGTCCTCCTTATCACCTGGTTTATTTTAATCTTGACTGCGGAAATCTTAACTTTAATTCTCAGTAAAATCTTCGCAATTAAACTTAGTCTTGGTTCTCGTTCGTTAAGTTTTTGCTGGACACTCTGAAAACATTCTGCGGGTGCATTTAGTAAATTTTTAAATCCGTAGAACTTTCGTTTGAATTATTGAGGTTGTAAATTTTCTCAAATTTAATAAAATACTACGCTATTAAAATTTAGACTAAGGCATACGCAAAACTAGCAGAAATTTATACTCTAGTTCAACAAAATTATCAAATTTAACCAAAACTGTTTGACCTAACTTTTCAACAGATGTTTTATTTTGCTCAAATAAAGTCAAAAATTTATTCTATGATCAGTTGAAATTTTTCTAATTTATAAAATTAAACTTCATTTCGGAAGGAAAGTTCCCGATTTGCTTTCAGTGAAATAGTACCCACATCTGGAATGTACGAGTGATCTATGCATATTTTTCTTTTGGTTTATGAAATACCATATTAGATCAGATCAGCACAGTTTACTATGAAGAAATTTTACTTTCCAGCAGCACACTATTTGCGCTAGTGTTTGTAAATTTCTCTAACCAGCACTATTTTTAGATTTTAGAAAACTCATCCCATTGCTTGATCTTACTTGGTTTACAAAACAGATCCGTGAACTTTTATTCAGCTTTTATTTAGCACAATTATGGATTTGTGTCATTGCAGTACATTCAACTTGACAAATATGTAAATACTAATTTGAAAAACCTAGGAATCGTCGAACCAATAATTAGCACTCTTGCGTGTACTGCGCATTTAATTTTTGCATGTAAGATTTCCAAACTAAAGGGACATCAGCTAATGTAGACCATTTTCCTGAATACGCTGAAGTACTTAATCCATTAAACATCAATTCCTAACACTTGTCAGTAAATTCTTCATAATCTTATTTAATTATTTCTTATCGTTAAATTATACTTTATGAATAATTTTGTACTCCACCATATTCTTATTCCAGGTCTTTACTTACGACGCCAGAAACCACGGTGAGAGTGAACATACGAAGGATTCTAGTTTCCATAACAATCTTCAGGACCTCTACACTTTCATGGATCGTATGGATATCAAAGATTCTGTTTTGGTCGGCCATAGTTTTGGAGGATTAACTGCCATCAGTGCTGCTCTACAGGAAGTATGTTATAAGTAGTACACATAACTCTGAACTCTGAACTCTTTGGCGCACTACAATGTATTCAGATTCTTGTACCCTAAACTCCAAGCATCCAGTCTCCTATGTTTAAGAGCCGTAAACACACGTCGAACATTTGAATCTAAAAAAATCTCATGCAAATTTGAAACTAAACCTAAATATTTTTATCAGTTTGACAACAGCTCGTAGATTTCTGCCGAATAGGGGAAAATTATCTACTCAGACGCGCGTTTAATTTAAAAATCTAACAAAGTTTTCAAATTGTGATTGTTTTAAAGACACTTTGATTTAGAATGCGAATAAAATATAGATGCGAATAAAACTATTTCATGATCAACCATTCGATATCTAAACTAACTTCTATATTTTAATGTTGATAATTTGATCTACGTATAATTAAAAGCAATAGTTTTTATAATCGGATTAAATATTTGTCTTTTTACTTAGCTTTAATTTTTTACGAATGCAAATCCAAATACTAAGCTTTTGAAAAGTTCTCATATTCCAAAGGCGTAGACATGGTTAAAGCTTTAGCAATAGTAATGTTTTACTATCTCTTTTAAATGCGAAATTTTAAAGTTTCCTGTTAATTTGAACTTTTAGTGATATGAAACCGCTTCAAATATTAATTGTGGATACGAATGTTTGATTAACACATTTAAACTTTACTTGAAAGTTTCCTCTTTTCTTTCTTCACGCCTCTATATTTATGCTATAAAGTCACTTAACGAATGCTAATATGTATTTTAATAAAATTAATTATAAGCTTAAAAAGTAGAATCTTTAAAAGCTTAGTGGCATGTATTAGCTTTTAAAATAGTAAACTAAATTTTAGCAAAGCTCTTAAAGAAACAGAATTTAATTTTAACAATCTGCAATGAAATTGGCTGCACAAAGATTTGGATTTTGAAGGACAATTCAAATTAAATTAACCTATGCAGTTTTCCTCTTCAATCGCTTAATATTTTAAATTTTATTTACAAATTTTCATTTAAATGTAAGTAAAATAGGCTTTACTCGCCTTTTCTTGTGAAAATGTTGCTGAAAAATTGAAGCTACCGCTCGAACAGAATTTTTGTAATTCTCGTTCTTATGTAAGAGATCTTGTTTAGAGTTTCGTTCTCGTGAGCAATTTTTCAGTTTAATTTTCCCCTGGAAGTATTTTTAATTCGAGTGATTTACTAATAGTTTCGTATTTTTTAATTTTAGCCAAAGAAAGTTGAGAAAGCATTTATTGTGGACATGTATGTGAAGAAAATTCAGCAGGAATTGATTGACCGATCCCTCAGATTCATGAATATTTGGACAGATGTTGTCAGAAGTCTTCCCAAAGATACCTCTGAAGTCGATGTCACTAGAATTAGCGTGCCACTTCTGTATGAAAGATTGCCTGAAGAAATGGTAAGTTTCATTTTCAGTTTGTTTAACCAACTTGATAACATTTTTTATATGTAAGATTTCGTAACACAATGGTGCGCAACAGTGACCAAATTTTATTTACTAATGACTCAATACTTAACTGTTTTTCTGTATTTCTGAACTTAATTTTTAAATTGTTGCTAATCTAATGAAGCTTCCAACTTGCCCTTAGAATAGGTTGAATAGTAGTTTCCGTATTGCTTTAATACGTATTGAAAAAAACGCTAAGCCACACAGTTTAACGTATTGCAAATGAATTTACTTACTGATTATCAGTTTACTAGCTCCTTACCTTTGTTGGTAAGCAACTTTCTGTCTAGGCATCTTTTTTTTTTGTTTTAATTTTTGTACGGACTCTAGTTTGATGTCATTAAATACGTCTATGCAATTGTTAATTTAAAAGTTTTTCGTAAATTCTTAGTATAGTTTCTTTCTACAGAAACTCCAATCCGAAAAGGAAGCTTACCTGATGTCAAAGTTCTTGTACAGAAGAAGACCGGATGGAGGATATGATATGCGGTTCAACACAGAAGCTCTTGCTGATGCTCTCAAACAATATCAGGAATCCCCCATTGTTCATAGTGGTCAATATGATGGTCCAGCATATTTCATTTATGGGTCCAAATCCCCATTTAATGTGTAAGTATTCTATTATCTCTACTCTCAATATATTTAGTAGCAATAAGGAAGTGTTTAATATTTACACCAAGAAAAACATGTTGGATGACCAAAGTGAATAGACCATAAATTACAATCCATATTTTCTAAGTGCATTTTAGTAATAAGGTGAACTGAAACTGTCTAAAAAATTTAATTGAGGGATTACTTAATTCCAACTTATACTATTTTTAGCTAACTATCTCGTGCTTATTTTTAATCTTGAGTAAGTTTAGTTTGAAACTTCCTCAATTGCTTATATTAATCTTGTAATCGTATAACTGAGTCACCAGAGTTTAAATACAATGTAATATCTAATCCCTTAAGAATCAACTACTTGAATAATTTTAAAAAAATTAGACAGATCTGTTTGTACTCGATAATCTGTAGAACTCGATAATTTTCCACAGCAATAGACATGAACGTATTGTCTCGTGCAAACATGTAAACATGTTTTATAAAGTCATTATCGTTAAAAACAGTTTCGAAACAGATAAAAGCTTACATAAACAGAGTTAGTACTTAGCAAATATTTGCTAGCATTAAAGAACTTTTTGCTGAGTAAAGTCTTAACTAAATATATTTAATAGTTTACGGAACTAAGCCAGCTATTGCAATTTAAATATATGCAAGCTAGAATGTAATCTCTGGTTTTCTTTCGGGTAATCAAATTCAGGCTTAATCTAAATCATGTAATGTTTGACTTATCGTTCTTGATAAAACTGTTTTTTAAAACATTAAGATATTTATGCAAACAAATTTTGCCACGGCTGACAAATTTCGTAGAAAAATTACAAGTTTAGAGATATAGATCTAATTTGTGACATATTATCGAGTGTCTAGTATTCAAATGATTTTTGCATTTTATCGGGATTTTTTTTTCCTCTTATAAGTTATCATACGTTCAAATTTTTTATAGCGTGAATGTTAAATCTCATAACTTAGTCGGAAATTCCAGCTAAAATATCTTAAACACAATATTTTTCAAATACTATTTCAAATGAATTATTCGAAATTTTACTCTTAATATGCTCAATCACGTTTTTACTAGTTAATGCATTAAAAGGATTTTCCCAAAACGTGTGTATTTCAGTTGGAACGGTTTAAGAGTAAGTTTCATATTCGACCTTGTGATGGTATGGCACATTTTTTCAGTGTCCTGCCGGGAAATATGTAATGCCAATGATGGCATCACAGAATTATATCATAAAAAAACCTTAATGCTTATCACTCCTTTTCTGCGACGTTTACTATGCCAGCTACTTAAAAAATGGCATAATTTAAGTATTACAAGCTTCTAATTGCAAGATTTGAGATGCTTTTCATTAATTTTAATTGATAGATATTATGTTAATTTGCGTAAGAATAAACCCGAAGGTAATGATTAGAATTTACTTTCTTCAAATTTGTTTTGCCCATAAAATTTGAACAGCTTCGGGATAAATTAGACGAGGGATTATTTCGGGGGAAAATAAATTTGTGCGGCAATATCTTTACGTAATGTACCTTTTATCTCTTAGATAAATATGGAAAATGGTAATTAACTACCTGGAAACAAGTCTCTTTTTAGATAAGATATCCCCTCTCCCTTATTTGTAAACGGGCCCACTTGATTTCATCGCCTTAAAGTTTTCACCAGTTTCAGAATGGCGAGTAAAATTCCGCTTTCTATTGTTGTAGAACATGCAGAATCTCTTTGTTAAGTGGCTAAGGAATGTATTTGCAATCCCATGCAGTTGCTTAAATTTCAATCAAAAACATGGTTAATCTACGAAGTGCCCACTGGTACTTAAACCAAAAGTTGAATTTTTAATATAGGTTAGTTTCCTATAAGTATATTTAAGTAAATATATGAACTTTACTATTTGCTACGCGATTTAAAAAAATGATGCAAATAAATTTTAAGTTTTAAATTTATCTTTTTTAAATGTAGAGGCTCTGAAGAGGCGGACATAAAGAAGCATTTTTCAAAAGCAGAGATGATAGAATTCAAAGATGCTTCACATCATCTTTTTGTGGACTTCCCTGATAAATTTGTCGACACACTTGTTCAAAGAATAGAATAAGGATACGAATGTGGAATTTCATGACTCTATCGAATTACTTCAAATTGTCGGAGCAAAGTTCTATTGTATTTTATATTATCGTTCAAAATATGAATTAAAATTGTCCTGCTTAATGTTTTATAGGTGTAATTTTTGTTTTTAAAATTCATCTCTTAACTCGAGGTATTCAACGTTGAGCTGGAATCACTCTTGCATAAAATTCAGATCTTAATAAGCTAACTCGGTGGAATGCGTAAATTTAATCTTTTAAAGAAATTCAGACGATTTTTTCCAAATCTGGAAATAATTTGTCTTTTTTTTCTTCTAAACAATCTAACTTCAAGCATGAGAATACTCTAAGCTTCCTAGGTTACAGCAAAATACTGAAAACAGGATAAAGCACCCATTCTCATACTTGGAATCTACAAACTCAAATTTTGAAGTTATGAATACCTTTTGTTCATTTAAAGTCTATCTGCTTTCAAAATTTAAATTTTTTCTCTTCGCGTATAAGATTTCTACATTTCTACTGAAGCCACAAATTAAAAACTTTTTCTTAGTCCGGTATGCTGCTAAAAGACAAGGTAATACTCTTGGATTTTAAAGCTCTGACAGAAAACTATTTATTTTGAAATTTTCAGTTTGAGCTGGAATGCTTTTAAGAGCATATTTAACTGCTTATTAAAAGTGGTTTAAAGTTTGATCATGATTAATATGATTTGTCTTGCGTGCGGGTCTTAAGAGTAACGTTTTCGAGGTAAAATTTGAAGGGAAATACTAAAAGTTCTTTATTTCGAAAGAGTGTGTGTATTTAATGCCTGTGCTTCTGTTTAACTCTGGAAAAATTTTAAATCCAAAGTAACATTTTAGCTAAGTTTTATAGAAAGTCAAAGGATTTTTTACGATCTCTCTATGAAATCAGAATCACCTAGAACCTTTCTATGAAATCAGAATCACCTAGAACCTTTCATTGTATCCTTCAGCACCATGACTGATATTTTAAGAATTCATTTTACCCGCTGAAAATGGATAGATTTGCTCCCAAATTCTTATCTAGTAGATTAGGGAAAAATTAGAATGAAACTATTTTATATTAATCTTGACCTAACTTTTATTTCTCTGTCGAAGGAAATATAAGCGTCACATATTTTAGTTGACGTAAGGAGGGAAATCTCGCTTGGCGAGAATTAGTTATAGCTGTTAAAAATTCTCGATGGCTAGTATATAGTAGCCCGTAATTCATTTGGCCATCAAAGTATTATGTTCTGTATAATCTCAAATAGTTTTGATTCATACTTTGCGCTACAGAGTTCACGATTCGCCGCAGAGAGTGCTGTGTCCGATAAGTAAATCTGATTTAATCGAGTGACTTTTTAATAAAATTAAGAATTCTCGTTTAAATTGGAAAGCAAATAAAGATGAAACTCCATGTTTTAGATGAATCCTTAGGCTTTACCTTAGTTGTTACTCTCGAATTCAAATTTGGAAAAATCAAAAAAACTAACTCTTACTGCTAACGTCAGAATTCGCAATTTTAGCGTTTAGATTTCCAACAAATAATTTTCTAAAGCTTTCGGGTTACTGATAGTCGAGTGTTTTTGCAATCTTTTCCACCGGTATTTAGAATTAGCAAGAAAAATGCTTGCAACTTAGCTTCCGGAGATGTTCTTATATTAGTTTTACATAACTATTTTTCAAGATATTCGTGTTCATCGTTATTTTTCAGTTAAATTCGGCAGTTAAGAAAACTATAACTGAGATGAAAACATTGAGCAATGAATAGTAGTCATCAGGATTCATAAAATTTCTTCATATCGTTCTTTTTTTTGCCGCAAACGGTCCTTTTTAGTTTATTCTAGATGCATCTTTAGGCTCAAAGTTATGATTTTTGAACACATAAACAAAATGAATGTTGCACGTAATTATGCTCTAAATAGTTTTGTATAGACTAAGCTTTTAAAACAAAGTTTACTCTATACTCGCTGCAAAGAACTTTAAAGCATTACCAAAACATTGACATCCTTAGTTCTTCTAATTTTGCCAAATAACTCTTTTTATTGCAGTTTCTTGGACATTAGTGCTGAATTTACTTAACTTGAACGCTACACTTTTACTAAATAGTCAAATTTGAAGCAAAATATTCATAATTTACTTGTATTTTGTTTTACTTGAAGCTGGGTCTTTATTGGTTTCTAGACAAGTAAATTTATAAGTAGTTGCAAATCTTTAACTTCAATTACCCATTATAAAATCAAATATATAGATATGCTTCAGTAGTTCCTTCTTCCTGAATGCTGAAATTGACAAGAAATAACTTATGATAGTTTCAAATCAAAAGTAGGAATGTTCCCTCAAGAATTTATTATTTTACTTAAAAGCATCGTCAACGTATGCAGTGCATAAAGCATTAATACTGTAAATTTATCTTCTGTTAAAACGCACTGGCAAAACTGCAAACTGTTCATATTAAATCGCATTTGCTCAGATGTTTTAGCCTTGTTCCAAAAATACGATATTAGGTCAAAATATTCCAATTTCTAAGTATTCTAGTACCGTTTCACTACTTATACAGGTTTTCTTTCAACACACATGCAGATCTAAAAATTGGAAGCAAGACATTTGATTTTTCCGCGAATATCGCAGAATTCCACTTACCTCATGAGTATCGATTTGCGGACTTTTGCCAATCAAAAACTTATAATCTGACGAAATTTTGAAACTTTTATTAAATCCCGTTAACGAGGTGTTACGTACATTCTGCCAATTTGACTCTTCTGGTTTGGAGTATGTTCCCCATTTTGAATAGTTAGAACTGCGCCGGAATCTGTTAATATCGAGATTCTCACGATTTTAATATGAAACATCGATTTTCGTATATACCTAATTTAAAACTTGCGTAATGCGATTCCTATTCACGCTATTTAACGATTCGATATCGATCACGACTTGTATTTGGGCGTTTTCAAAGCCTCCCAATATTGCGATTCGTATTCACGTAAGTTTGAAATCCAATATCGCAATTTGTATTTTCGAGTTTTCGAAATCTAATACCGCGGATGGCAACAGAATTATGAAGGATTAAAACAAAAATCCCCTTACAAAAATGACAGCTATAGCTTGCCGATAAGCGTACCAAGCTTTTCACTTTTACAATCATTTAAAAAATACTTTTACGTAGAAAGTTACATTAAACTGGATTTTAGTACATTAATCTAAACTAAACTCAGTGGCGCGACAGCCCATAGAGACCCAAGGACTACTCTGCTCGTCTCAGTTTTCTTGATCTTGAGCTCTGGGGTGCAGGAACAGATGTTCCGGCGGAAAGCTACAACACAGCCACCGGAGGTCATCTGAGGACGCAAATAATCTGATTTTTATGTATTACTAACAGATGGCACTCGAAAGAAAAAAATATTTTTGTGTCACTATATTGCCCATGATTTTCTTTCCTCAAATAGTTTGCTTGCAAATAACTGGTAAATAAAAACTATTGAAACATCTGTTTGATACTTTTCTAAAGTCTGGAGCTCATCAGCTAAATTAATTTTCAAATGTGAAAGTTCTTAACTTCCTTACTCAGAGTTTCCTAACTTGCTGTGCAAACTTATTTAAAATTAGAAAAATATAACCTATTTCAAAAAAATACCCTTCAAGCTGCTAAATTTGTTCAATTGATAATTCAATAGTTGAGATTAATGACGAAATAACTGAGAGAAGCAGTACCAGTGCAAAACTCAAACTTGTGCAAAAATAGACTTATTAAACATAATATGACGCCAGGTTGTATATTCCATACTTAAAAGACGCAATACAATCGTCAGGGTAGAACTAATTTAATCTGGAATTAATATTTCATGCAATAAAAGTAAAAATATTTTATTATAACTGTCAAATATACAAACAGGTTTACTGTGTTGGAAAATTTTAAGACTTTTTTTTTGCCTTATAAAATGTTTTTTGTAACTTTTGTAATGTTTTTTGTGTAACTGTTGATTTTCTCCGCATTAAAGAACTTGTGTCAATGCATTAAGAAATAAAAAATGAAGCAATAAAGGTAAAGAAGTCCTTTTTCAAAAAAAAAAATTATTTTTCCTATCTCGATAAGAATATACGATCCATTATCATATTCTTTCTTCTGCAGCTTTTCATGAGGAGTGTAATGAATCTTAAAGCTTTTTAAATGATAATTTTTCTTCTGATGTAAAATTTGTCCCATGTATTATTCATATCCTGATTCTACAAATTGTTAATGTATTTCAGATAGTTTTAGCGAAAATATTACATTTTTTCTTTTAAGCTCGTGATCATTGTACCACATAAATAATAAAAGAAACGAGTCTAAATTGAAGATTTCCAAGCTACATATAAAAAAAAAATTTCAAATTCAGGTACATAATAAAATTTTAGAAAGCTATCTCCCAAAATAAAAAAAAAGCTCTATTAGTGATTTTTTACAATTTTTCAAAGCGACAATAAGAACGCGATATAATAAAACTATGAACTTATGAAATCTAAACAAACTTCCCAACAGCTATTTCTAACCAGTCATTATTCGGAAGAGAAGAAATTTCATGAAAAAAGGTAGCAATTTTATAAAAATTGGACTCTCTAAAACAAATCATTAAGTTCATAAATGAAAATGGCTGTTTCAGAAGTTACTTTTAACTTTGTAATGTGTTTCTGCTGGTTAGAGTTTATTTTCGATTTTTTTCCAAGAAATGCAACGAATAATTCCAGAACAAATTAGTTCAATCAAATAAATTAGTAATCAAATAAATTCAGTGGAAGAATGTTCAAGCCCAATGTTTAAATGCACATATATGTAGATTAGACCCGTAATCTACTCACAAATTTGGTACATGATGTAAAACTGGAATTTTAAGAAATGACTGATACGTATACCGAAAAAAATAAACTAGTAAATAGAACACTTTGAGTTTTTGATTTCGAACAAAACACACTTTTGGTGACTCAAACAACATTGCTGCTATGTTACAGATGCAGTAATAATATACCTTATCACAAATTTGAGGTAGATTAGGAAGATCCATTTTTTATGAAGGCAAGATTAATATAAAAGTTCTTATTAAATTTAATTTAGTTCTTATTAAAAATTTCTTATCTTTTTTAAATCAGCAA